GGTCAATATTAAATGTTGTTGCTATTTTATTCTTTTCATGTGGGCCACCAAAAATTCTATTATTAAAAGTGTGCAGGCAACACACATACCCAAAGTATCCTGTCAAATGCAGAAAAGAGGGAGTCTCAAAGCGTATTTATGTGGGGCTGTGCAGGATCAGAGCTCATCTCACACAGATGACTGGCTGCAGGGTGAAAACGACCAGTGTATACCGAGCACTAACTGTGTGCAGGCCTCTCCTGAAGCAAGTCACATGCATGGCATTTGGCACGAAGACGAACAGGGAGAGGCCAGAGGTGGGCAGATCAATCCAGAGTGGGATAAAAGGTAAGGGGCACTATAATCCGTGCATGTAACAAACAGGAGAAACAGGCCCAAGAAACGTGACAGAAAACCCTTCCAGAACCCAAGTGGCCAGACAGATGGCAGTGCATGTGTGTGCACCACTCCATGCCGTGGGTAGAGCTGAGTAAGTGAACCCAAACACAGGCTTTCACTCACAAAGGAAACATTTAAAGAACAACCACTTGATGGTACTGAGATAATGAGCCACCATATGATAAAAATGAATTCTTGAACATTTAAAAATAAAATTAAAATAAAATAAAACCACTGACCTCAAAACATTTTTCTTTCTTTGCCTGGTGAAGCAGGCTAGCTATACCAGGAAGCAGAATTGGAAAGATGAACGTTTCCAAATATTCTTTGGGGGGACCTAAAAAAAACAGTAAGATTCCTGCTGAAGATTCCAAATGGCAGTCAACCAATGGTCAATGGCGCCAATTCAACACCAACAGGAAACCCCAATTTGGGGTGCAGTGAAGAAGGAAACTTTATTCAGTGCAATACAGCTCAACTGTGATAGAGCACAGCTACGAGGCAGCCCTGGATCCAGGCCCTTTCTGGCTGGACAGCTCTGCTCAGCTCCGCTCTGCTCCGCTCTGCTCTGTCCTGGGCCAGTGTGCTATGTGCTGCGCTGCTCTGCTCTGCTCAAGTGAGACATCTTCAGTGTTTCAACTCAGCTGGGGAAAAGCAGTCTTCAGTGTAAAGGCAAAGTGTGCTCTTAGGGCCAGGGAGGCTTCTACACACAGAAGTCCTGACCCTGGTCCCTGATTGGTCTGGCCTCATGCAAATAACTCCAAAGCCTTGCCGTTTGATTGGTCCAAAAGGCACTGCCCTGACTGGTCAGAATACAGCCGCTCTGCACAGCTCCAACTGGGTGGGGAAAGCCTCAGTGCTATTGGTTGAAATAAGGATTCCAGGAGCTCCTTTATAAGGGCTGGCTCAGAGGGCAGAAACAGTGCAGGCAGGCAGGTCAGTGCAAGCAGTGGGCAGTTTAGTGTTCTCCCTAAGGCATGGCTTGCATGAAAGGCCCCTGTTTAGCAATGGCTTCTAGACTCTTTTTTGAAATTTGAGCCCAGTTAGATACCAAGAGCCCTTCTTAGTAGGTGTCTTCATTCTTAGGGTTCACATGGCCAAGTTAATGCAAGAGAAACATTTGCTCTGAACCAAAAAAAGTACTGTCCATGAAATAACATGACCTTAAATGTTACTCCAGACTGCTGAGTTGGGCTGTATTACTGAAGAAACTTAACGTCTCTTTTGCACCTCTGTAGCCCAGTGAGGATATAGGCCACATGCTACCCAGGGCTAGGGCCACAGGAACAACAAGGCCAGTGTGGCTCAAGGGAAATGAGCAAGGGGAGTGGGGTAGGAACTGAAGTCAGGAACAGGGTGGGGGTACAATGGATAGAGCCTCACGGCCACAGTAATGATGGTGCTGGTTGCCAAGGCCCAAAGCACACTAGCAGAGAGAACAGAACAAACCAGCAGGAGAGGCCCCCAGACCAGGAGGCCAGAGGAACTGGGGCTCAGGCAAGAAAGCTTAGGAAGCCTATATCTCTGGCTTCAACCTACAAAACAGGACAGCATGGTATTTTCTCCTACTTTTTATATTTTTGCCCCTTTGTATTTAAAGCAGAATCAGAGTATGCTAGTTATTTATCGTCATTATTATATTTCACCCTTAAAGATAAATCAATGGAATAAAGGCTATTTCTTTTAAAAATTAAAACAAGAACACATTATTTATGTGGTCTCCCTGGGTCTCTTTGTCCACTCCCACCCCCACCCTGTGGTTTTCCAGTGTTACAAGCCCCAAACTATGAAAGAGGAAATCATCTTTACTTACATGTTTTTGGATTAACTTTTTCCAATTTAACTTGAGGGCAGGGTACATATGAATCTGTGCCCAAATGAGAAACTGAATAAAGGTGCTCTGTATTGAAGCCACGGAAAACTGTTTCTTCCATTGGTGAAAGCTGGTGCTGGGTGGGGGGAAGAATCAATTCATATAAATAGCTTAAATAATTGCATTTTCTTTCATAACCTAACACAAGAATAAAATTCTGCATCACACTTTAGGTTCAAGGGGACACACTGAGTACAAATCTTTGTCTCTATTCTCTCCTGAGACACATAAATGACAAATGAAGACTAAATCTCTAATAGAAGAATACAGGGACCATCAGTGGATGAGAGATTTGCCAACATTTCCAAAAGAAACAGGGATGAAGGGTGTCATCAGGTAAGAGAGAGGGGAAGCAGCAGCCCAGAATGCAGAGTACGAAACTGCTCTGAAGAATGGGAGTCCATCTTCCCACCAGGATTCCAAAGGGCTTCAATGCTCAGGGGTTCAGTTCCTCAGAGGGTGAGAATGGAAAGGGAATGAGAATAAACAAGAGTGAAAATCTGGCTGGGGCTCCAGTGGCCTGCTGCCCCCATTTCCCCTCCCCTTGCTCCTGCCCCCTTCAATAGACATAAAGTTAGGCTCACAGAAGCATTTTTACCCAACTCTCCTTTCCAACGAACTCTTCTATGAACAAATTAAACAAACAGCTTGGAAGGAGTAGAACCACTCAAGGTGCCATAATGGTGGTCAAAAGACAAAAAAATCCACCTAAATTAATTTGGAAGTTCCCTGCCTGTGGACCCTGAAGAAAAACCTTCCAGTGGTCAGTCACTCCCCATGAGCTCCCAACCAGTGTTTCTACTCATAGATCTATCTAGAAAACAAACCCATATGTACAACAGTAGAAGAAAACCATACCAGCTATGTAGAAAAATCCACTCGGGCCCTCACTTTAAATTTTGAAACAGTCAAAGCTTCCTACCCAGATAAAGAACATCAACAGCATGAGTGACCAAGATCAAGATCTACAAAGAACTGATCCTGGAAGAAGCACAAATAATTTAGGGAAGGGACTGTGATTAGCATCTGCAGAGAAATTTGAGAAAACATTGCATCCATAGAGCAAGAATGCTATGAAAAAAGGTCACAGGACAAGGCAGTTCTTAGACACAAGGTTCTCGAACAGCAGCAGCGGCAGTAACTAACATACTGGAAATCTAGTCTTAGGTTTTGGTCCCATCCCTATGACTCTGCTAAAGTCCCTTCATCTCTCAGAGTCTTGTTTTATTTTAAACTTGGTTAAGTTACTATTTTACTCCAAGTAGAGTGCCTGAGGGCCTCTCTTCCTGGATGCCCTGTTCTCCACCCTCTTTCCTTAATCCAGTCGTCTTCTTGCCTATTTGAGCATACATGGGGAAAAGTGCTCTATCTGCAACTGTCCCCAGCATGGACATGGTGTTGACTCCACTGGAAAGGCCTTTTTCATCCAGGATCTCATTTGAGCCCCACAGAGGCACCGTGAGTTAGTCAAGGATTATCTGATCCATTTAACAGATGCGGAAACTGAGGCTTAAGAGATTATGATATACCCTTTAAGTCACACCGTTAGTAGCAGAGCTAAGACTGGCCCACATTTCTGGTTCTAGTTCCAGTGCCTTCCCTAACTCATGACACTGTCATGACACACTGTGTGACGTTCATCAGCTATCAGTGCTATTCTCATTTAAGAGCTTTTCATTTCAGTTGAGGTGGGGCAATACTCACCGTAATCACAGCTTCCGGCTTGATTTTATATCCCTCTGGAAAGGGAGGCAGCTCAGCTTCATACTCTAAAAGGAGTGGGGGGGGGGAACCCTCAATTCCATACGTAATTGCAGTTTATGATGTAATTTTCTTTCCTCTAAATAAAACATTCTTAAATTTTGTTTTGGTTGGTGGTTTATAGAAATGAGAAACAACTGGCCATTAGAAGTTAATAATTCATGTGGACTGCCTTATTTAAAAAGAGTCCAGGCTTTATGTAAAGAGTCTGAGACTTTTCCTGAGAGAGTACAACTTTAGATTTTGCCCCCAAATTATGAGAGAATGGGAAGGGGGCCTAAGGGAAGAATGCAGCACACAGAGAGGAGAGGTGAGAGAAAAGGAGGGAACGTGAGGGCAGAGTAAGAGACAGGGAAGACTCGCCATCCTAGGCAGTCACTGGTGGGCCTGCCAGTCTGGGGTACACGACAGGAAAAGCAAGGCCATAAACCCTTGCTACTCAAAGTATGGCCCCAGAACCAGCAGCAATGGCATCTCTGGGGAGTTAGAAGTCCAACATCTCAGGCCCCGCCCCAGACCTGCTGAACCTCAATCAGCATTTGAATAAGATCACAGGTGACTTGTGTTTGTTTTCACATTAAAGTTGGAGAAGTCCTGTAAGCTCCCGCAGCTTCTCATCCTGGCCGCACATTAGAATCACCTGGCAGCTATTTGAAACTAACGATGTCTTGGCCCAACCCCAGAAATTTTGATTCAATAGGTCTGGGGCAAAAGCCTGGGAATGAGTATTTTTAAAGTTCTCCAGGTGATTCTAATACGCAACGAGGGGGAGTACCATTGCCAGGTTCCAAGGCTAATCACAGTCAACCTGTTGGAGAGTTTAATGCAAAGAACATTCCACACAAGCTCTGCAAGGTAACAACTATTGCTGAGAGAGGGGAAGAAAATGCTCATGTCCATATTAGTTATACCCTTAAAGGAAGGACTGATAAAAATATTTCTGGAAAGTTCAATGTTTTAAAGGTAATTGTACAGTTGCTTTGCATTAATGAGGGAAAACAAAGTTTCTGGGCAAGAGGATATTGATGGAATACAGTTGTATTAGACACAAGTTTTATTTCATTATCTAGTTCCTTATCAGATAGTAGAGCATTTCTAAACGAAAACATTTTTTTAATTCCTAAGTATCAGGCTGGCGACAAGTATGCCAGGCTGCAGGTGATAAGCAATTTTGATTCCAAATACTAGCTATATTCATTTTCTATTCTGTGTAACAAATTACCACAAACTTACTTAAAACACAAATTTATTATCTCTGTTCCTGTGGGTCAGGAGTCTGGGTATGGGTCAGGTCTCATCAGGCTGAAATCAAGGTGTTGGCCATGGCTGTGATCTCATCTGAGGGCTGGGGTCCTCTGCAAAGTTCAATGGTTGTTGGCAGGATTCAGTTTCTTGTGGTTGTAGTGGAGTCCCCATTTCTTTTTTGGATTTTGATGAGGACTGCTCTCAGCTCCTAGAAGCTGCCCTTGGGCCTTGTCACAGGGCAGTTCACACATGGTTATTTGCTCACTGAAGGCAAGCAGGAGTGTCTTCTGCTTCAATCTCTTTAACTTGTTTGAGGTGCTCACCTGATTAAGTCAGGCCCACCTATAATGATCTCTCTAATTTAAATTCAACTAATTACAGACTTAATTACTTCTGAAAAGTCTCTTGACAGCAATGTCTAGATTAGTGATTGACTGACTAATTGGGAGGTGAATGCGCTAGGGGAATGTGGGGGGCTGGGTCATCTGAGAATTCTGCCCATCATAATAGTTCTAGCTCTACCACTTTTTCCCCCTCTCAAAGAAGCATGCATATTCACCCTTCTTCCCCCTACCCTTTGAGAATCACCAACATAGTGTGAAAACTATCTGAATTTAAGATACATACATTTATAGCTTTGTCTGATTCAAAAAACTTATTGTGAGAAAATTCCAAATAATACAGAGATGTCTTATGTAGAGAGTGTAAGTCACACAATGCCATTGCAACCAACAGCCATTGTTAGATGTGGCATAGATCCAACCTAATCTTTTCCACGCATTTACTAATATACATTTGTAATGTACAAATACATTTATTTACTTTAGATCTCCTAGACTAGGTCAAATCATCCAAGTACAGAACCTTATAACACTGTGTCCTTTTTCTTCACAACTCATATTAGTTTTACCTTTTTTGGAATTTGTAAAAATTAATCTCTTTAATAGACTGTGTTTTGTGACGAAATTACCTCAGTCTGGCTGTGCTCACATCACATTCCCACAGAATTCTTGTTGAATGAAGTAATGAATGAATAAATGAATACATGAACAAAACAGTACGGCAAGTTACTTCTGACCCTTAATCTACTGATCTGTTCATCAATATTTACTGAGAGTCCACTATGTTGAATCTTGGACATCTTTTGAGGCTGCTACATATATTACATGCCACATTTATTTAGCCAGTGTATTCTTAGTGGGCATTTATTGATCCTAATACAAGTGGCTCTGAGAATACAAAGCCTTGAGTTATCACTGGAAAGATGAAAAAAAAAAACACACCAAAAAAACAAATGGAGACCATTTACAAATAAGTTATCTTTAGGTGACTCCTGCCCTGCACACACACAAAGAATACTAGTCAGGTAGGATAAAGGTCTTGTTTAAGTTAGATATTGAGTTTCTGACAGGTATTTGCTGTGAGGGTTTGCTTTTTAAATGTATATTTCCCAAAAGAACGTAATACTTAACCTCAAAGATAGGATTACCACAAAGCCTATTTTTCATGTTTGTTGAGAGAAACTGAATTTACTCACTATGTTTGTTATAGAAAATTGCACTTGTTAGAATGTTTAAGAAATTGGGCTTATTCATCTAGGTTATAATAATTAATGTGCCAGTGTGTATAATTCACCATCTTGATCTCATTAACTTCATGTTGTAACTCTATTGATTCGTCAGTGGCATCGACTCCCCTGCTTTTCAGAGAGGACCAAAACCCCTCGTCTTTGCTTTCTCCCTACAGGCCTGTTTGACCAAAATAAATCCCATGATTCTAAAATGCAACGCAAACACGCTTCTTTGTCAACAATAACTAACATTTACTGAGCATGTCTAAATGCCGGGCACGTTGCTGAGCACCTTTGCATACGCCATCTTATTCGACCCTCACAACAGCCCTGCGAGGCAGGTGCAAGGATTATCCCTCTCTTATAGATGAGGCTGAGCAGCTTCTCTAACAAAACACGACTAGCAAATCGGACCATGGAGAGCTATTTGGCTTGGGGAATTGAAAGCTCTGGGGAAAAGACAGTCACAATAACAATCTTCAAATATCTGACTGGATTCTTTATGGTAGAGTGATTAGCATGTTGGGTCACAGCACCAAGGAGGTCAGGACTAATGGGTACAAGTTATAAGGAGGACATTCAGGATGAAACTGGTTTTTCTGGATATAATGCAATGTAATGCTTGAAGGAATTTGAGCACTGGGTGGAAGCTGAATTGGATGGCCTTTGAGGCCATCTATCAACTCTGAGCCCACTGTTCTCTCCCTCCTCTGTATTTCCCACTTCTCTCAACTCATCACTCTCCTCCTACCTGGACCCATATACCAGTGCATTCATTCTATTTTCCATTCAACAAACATTTGCTGACCTGTACTGTCCAATACAGTAGCCACTAGCCACAGGTGGCTACCTAAATTTATTAAAATTAAGTAAAATAAAAAATCCAGTTCCAAAATTGTACTAACCACATTTCAATTGCTCATTAGCTGCATGTGGCTAGCGGCTACCACATTGGAAGGTTCTCCGGGACACTGCTGTTTCAGATAGCTGAGGCAGTGAGGAGAGCCACAAGAACGAAAAATCTAAGTTCTTGGCCTTGAGGAGCTCACAGCCTGGGGGAGGGAAGAAAAGACACCCTGCATTACTTCTTAAGAGCTACCATTTATTGAGCTCTTGCTGGAAATCGGTCAGTTGGCTAAGTACTTTCCATGACCATTCAGGTGCATCCTCCTAATACCATAAAATAGGTGCCATCGTTATGCTCACTTTAGAGAGGGTAACAAATTAAATAACTTGCCCAACGTCCGTGGAGTATTTTTTATGGGGCCTCATGACCAAGGGTACTATGTGGAGGGCCACAAAAGATGGTGAGGACCCGTTTGGGGACCTTAAGGGGAGGTTGGAAGTGCAGAGGGATTAAAACCCAAATCTGTCCAGACCATGCTAGCTCAACATGTGGGCCATAGGTGATCAACACCAGAATTCCTGGGGTGCTCTTTAAAAGTGCGGATTGCTCGAGCCCCGTTAGGAACTCCGCGGGCGGGTCCTGGGAACCGAGGTTTTAAACAAGGTCCCATCTCCGCCCCCGCGGTTCTTTCCAGTTCACTGAATGAGGTTTGGGCACCACTGGTCCACACCGCCTGGCCCCATTGCACTCCGCTTTCCCCATTCTGCCCCATGCTTGCCACCTGACTACGGACGACGATTGGAGGCCGCTCTGGAAACCTCAGGCAGGCCCCTCGAGGCCCGTCTCCCGGGCGTAAAACCCGGAGCTCGCGGGTCTGAGGCGCGTCAGTTACCGGCTCCCAGGAGGCGCCCAATGGACGCAGCCCGCGGGGCGCCGAGCCCCGCCCGCCCGCCGGGCCCTGCCTACCCTCGCAGATCTGCTCCCACAGGGTCTTGTCCCGCGGTTCTGCGGCCTTTCCTGGCGAGGCGGGCCGCTCGAGGGACACGGGGCACACGGTAGGAATTGGCGTCCCGGGGGTGACAGACGACTCTACGGAGCCGGCCTGCTCCTCCGGCTGGGCAATGCGGCTGCCCACCTGCCCAAGCGCCGCCATGGTCACGGTTTCCACGGCAACCGCTTGCGCGCCTGGCCGCGACCCGGAAGAAGAAGGAACAAGCGGGCGGCGGGCCAGCGTCTCGGGATTGACTTCCGGGTCACGGCGGAGCGCGTTCTCTCGTGGAGGCTGAGCGCTTTGGCCTACAGGTGAGCGCGGGGGCGGGCGCTGGCCGGGCGGCGAGGAGTGTGGAGATGAGGTCTGGGGAGTTGGGCGGCGAACAGAGGGAAAAGCGGGCAGCTTGCTCCCCAAGTCCACGCCTTCCCAGCCTCCGAGTGCGCTCGCTCGGCCTGAGGCCGCCGCCTCCGGGAAGTTCTCCCTCCTCGGAGCCGGGCCCCCAGCTTGATTCTTCCCAGGGTGTTGGTGCCCAAGCGTTGGCGAGGCGGAGCCTTTGAGCGAGCGGCTTCGCCTCCTGGATCCCCGCTTCCGGCTGGTGACCCCGCGGTGGGAGTGGGTGTGGTGCTCTCTGCAGAGCCCGGGCTCCTCGTCTCGCGGCCCTCGTCCCAACCGCTGTTTTGCCACTTGCCGGCTGTCGGACCAAGTGAGTTGAAGTTCCCAAGCCTCGGTTTGCAAGTCTCTGAGGTGGGGTAGTCACACCGGCCCTCGCTAGGCTACCGCGAGAATTTTAAAGCGCTTCTGCAGAAAGCGTCTGCGTTTGCGGGAGTCACGCTGTGAGCTTCAGTTCCCCTTCCCTTCTAGAAGGAGTGAATACTTTGGGGGTCACAGGGTTGGAGAGGATGTCCTTCAGTGCTAAGGAGGATGGATGTGTTCTGAACGGCCGAGATGAGAGAAGAGAATTCAGTTGACAACACTCTGCCCTTGGCTGCTTTGTTTTCGTTAGGTCCCTTGACCACCGCTCCATCTGAGGCACCCTGGGCTCCCTTGAGTCCACCCTCTCTAGGTTCGCACCTTCTCCCTCTACTTTGCCAGCCCCTCTTCCTCTGCCCACCCACTTAAATGTCATTCCCTAAGGTTCTGTCTCAGACTCTTTCTGTTCAGCGTTTAATTACCACCCATATATTCCAAAACTTGCGTTGCGCATGTCAGCCTAGCCAGCTCTCAGCCTCAGCCCAGTATATCATGTCCACCCAACGTCTCCACTTGAATATCAAGGCATCTGTTCAAACCCGCATGCCTCCAGCCCTCCACTACCCACCTTTGTACGGAATAGATTACGTACAAAATCTCAACAGGGATTAGTGCCAACATCGTGCAGTTGCCCAAGCTTTAGAAAGTTTCCTTACCACTGGTAGTCAAGGTTAGAAAACCTCTGTAACCCTGACATTACAGCTCTACTTGCTTTTACCACCTTTATCATCTGTTACTACATCTCTTCCGACACCTACTTGCTTTTTAACGGCAAGTGTTTTATCTTGTTCACCTCTCTTTAGTGTTCCTCCCTCATTCAGTGAGTATGTATTTTTGAGCACCTGTTATATGCCAGGTACAGAGTTTGGCTCTAGGAGTACAGGCAGATCTCATTTTATTGTGCACTTTATTGCACTTCACAGGTGTTGTGTTTTTACAAATTGAAGGCAAGACCCTCCACCGGCAAAAATATTACTACTTGCTTTATTTTGATTCTCACTTTATTACGGTGGTCTGGAACAGAACCTGCAAAGCTCTGCCTGTACAGCAGAAAACAAGACAGGAGTGAATGAGTGGGTGTTCCCTTGACTCTCCAGGTGCTCCTGGAGCAGTTATAAATGCACTTGAGCTCTACCTCAGGCCTGACCTGGTCCTTTGAAGCTGGTAAGAGTAAGGCAGGTCTAGTGTGGAACCCCTGGGCTCTGATGCTGAAGAGAGCTGCAAGATGGAGAAGCTCCTGACCTTTCCCTCCCACTGTCTAAACCTCCCATGAGGGGATGTTTGTTTCTGGATTTTCTTAGTGTCTCCATGTCATCCAGGGAATAGCAGGAGCTGGGATGGTGACTAGAGTGAGAGAAACAGCCCAGCTGGAAGCTGAAATATATTGAGGGCTCCAGCCCCTTCTCCCAGGTGCCTCCCTTACATTTTCCAAAAATTAAAAAAGCTAGGTATTCTAGGTTGTTATGTGTCATCCTCAATCATTAAATGTTAGCAATTTATCTGAAAATTTTAAGAAAGACTTGCAGGCTGATGTCGTCGTCCTCCCTCCCCCACTCCACCCGATTTAGTTCAACCCCTCTTTTATGGGTGTGGAAACTGAGACCTGAAGAAGCCAATGGCTATGAGACAAGAAGATCAGAGTCACCACTTGAACACAGATGTTTTCAGTCTTAGCTGGAGCTCCTCTCACCATACCTGCTACTCCTATTACTGGCCACGTGGGGAAGTAATTAGGACAGTAAGTCAACCGGGGTGTAGGTTGGAGGAATTAATTTCCAAACACAAAGCAGTAGAGCTGTTTAGATGAACCAAGTTAACGGTTAACTGTGCCACAGACACTGCCTCTGGTGGGAATTGGCAAGAAGGGCTGACCTCGGGCTTTTTATACCATACCCTTCATCCAGCAAAAGGGGAGCCCCTGAGGGCAGCGCCTGGTCTTTGTGGTTTGATCTCAGTTGTACCCTCAGTGGCAGGCACAGGGCAGGCAGTTGGTAGATTTTTTTACNTGCACTTGAGCTCTACCTCAGGCCTGACCTGGTCCTTTGAAGCTGGTAAGAGTAAGGCAGGTCTAGTGTGGAACCCCTGGGCTCTGATGCTGAAGAGAGCTGCAAGATGGAGAAGCTCCTGACCTTTCCCTCCCACTGTCTAAACCTCCCATGAGGGGATGTTTGTTTCTGGATTTTCTTAGTGTCTCCATGTCATCCAGGGAATAGCAGGAGCTGGGATGGTGACTAGAGTGAGAGAAACAGCCCAGCTGGAAGCTGAAATATATTGAGGGCTCCAGCCCCTTCTCCCAGGTGCCTCCCTTACATTTTCCAAAAATTAAAAAAGCTAGGTATTCTAGGTTGTTATGTGTCATCCTCAATCATTAAATGTTAGCAATTTATCTGAAAATTTTAAGAAAGACTTGCAGGCTGATGTCGTCGTCCTCCCTCCCCCACTCCACCCGATTTAGTTCAACCCCTCTTTTATGGGTGTGGAAACTGAGACCTGAAGAAGCCAATGGCTATGAGACAAGAAGATCAGAGTCACCACTTGAACACAGATGTTTTCAGTCTTAGCTGGAGCTCCTCTCACCATACCTGCTACTCCTATTACTGGCCACGTGGGGAAGTAATTAGGACAGTAAGTCAACCGGGGTGTAGGTTGGAGGAATTAATTTCCAAACACAAAGCAGTAGAGCTGTTTAGATGAACCAAGTTAACGGTTAACTGTGCCACAGACACTGCCTCTGGTGGGAATTGGCAAGAAGGGCTGACCTCGGGCTTTTTATACCATACCCTTCATCCAGCAAAAGGGGAGCCCCTGAGGGCAGCGCCTGGTCTTTGTGGTTTGATCTCAGTTGTACCCTCAGTGGCAGGCACAGGGCAGGCAGTTGGTAGATTTTTTTACTTTTTTTTAAAATATATCTTTATTGATTTCAGAGAGAGAGAGATAGAAACATCAGTGATGAGAGAGTCATTGATCAGCTGCCTCCTGCATGCCCCCAACTGGGGATCGAGCCTGCAACCTGGGCATGTGCCCTGACCAGGAATCGAACCCTGATTGCCTGGATCCTAGGTCGATGCTCAACTGCTGAGCCACGCCTGGCCGGGCGGTAAATTTCTGTTGAATGAATGACTAGGCTTAGAGGCTTGAGGGAGGGGGCTAGGAAAAGGAGTCAGCAGTGTAGCAAGCACTTTCCATGGATTATTTCCTTTATTATTCCCAACAACTCTTTGAGAGGTGTTGTTTTCCAGATGGGGACATTAGGCTCAGGGAGAACAGGTGAATGACAAGGTAAGAGAGCGGTTTGGATTTAAACCTGGGGCTTCTGAATTTTAGCTCCATTCTCTTTCTTTGGTCATATGTGCCTTCGCTCCACAGGAGTCGCTTCCATTTTCCCATTCCCCAATGTTTCAGACCATCCACTCAAAGAAACTCGGCTTTTGGCAGTACCTAGTGGAATAGGACATTGGGGGCTTGGTGTAGGGGTAACTTGTCCCATTTCTTTTTTCAGGAATGATCACCAAGACCCACAAAGGAGAGCTGGGCCTTAGGCTTCCAGAGAAAAGCAAGAAGAAGGTGGCAAGAGAACCAGAGGCTCGGTGCTTGGTTTTGAACAGTAACAGTTATCTCACTGAGGTTTGTCCCACGACAGCTACCTCCCCCACGAAGAGTGCCACCCGAGGGCAGGCCCCCGAGACGCCTCCGGTGAAGAAGAAGAGGAAGAAGAAGGACCGCAGCGTCCCCCGTGGGGAGGACCTAGTTCCTGGGGCCCCGGTGTGTGCTAGGCGGGCAGAGACGTCTCCCAGGCCCCGGGCACAGGCTCTTGGGCCAGCCGAGTCCGTCAGCGGGGAGAAGAAAAAGAAGAAGTCCTTGTGTCCTCTGGCTGTGTCCCCCAGTGTGAGGGTGAAGACCTCCCTGGACCCCAAACAGGTTGAGGAGGTGACCAGAGTTGGCAAGAAGCTCAGAAAGCACAAAAAGGAGAGAAAGGCCCGGGAGGCCGCAGCCTCCCCGGCCAGGGACCCTTGGCTCTGTGAGGCTGAGGATGTCCCGGGTGCTTGCTCAGTGGCAGGGGATGACCAGGAGCAGGCGGCCTTGGGGCGGAAAAGGAAGCAGGGGTGCCCCAGGGAACACAGCGCAAAGATAAAGAGGAAAAAGAAAACCCGCCAGGAGAGAGAGAGCCCCCTTGACCATCCCCAGCCCAGGCCCGTGGAGGGCGGTCCTGGGAAAGGAAGTAAAAAGAAGCCTGTCAAAGTTGAGGCTTCAGAGTACATCCCGATAGGAGGTGGCCTCGAGCGCCCTGCGAAGAAGAAAGTGAAGTCCAGCAAAAGGGCAGAGGCGCCGGGCAGTGAGGATCCCACTCTGCCGCGGAAGAAAAAGAAGAGGAAGGAGAGCAAAGCGGCGGGACTTTGGGAGGAGGTGGGTCGTCCGTGTGGAAGCTGGGGCGCGTTCTGTGCACTCGCACACAAGGTTACAGCGTTGTAGCTGCCAGAACCTTGTTTAAACCCACTTACGCCAGAAAGGGGATTTATTGGCACGTGTAACTTACTGAGAGGTGGGTCTGGCACAAGAGGGGCGGGCTCAGTTAATACTGACGGAAGGACAAACCCCCTGGAGCTGGGTCAGAAGGAAGGTGTCTGGATGGCCTGTGCTCAACTCTACAAGATGCAGTTGGGGAGGGCAGGGGGCCCACAAGGGGTAGTTTGGGTCCTGGATTTCTCCTAGCTTGTCCTGGTCCACCATTAGAATTGATTTCACCAGTCTCCTCCTTTATTCAGAAACTCGGGGTCTAGGAGGAACCCTAGAGGGTTTGGAGCCCAACCCCCATCAGAATCTAGAATCCTTTCTGCCAGGAGCTCAGTGAAAGGTAGTCACTTCCCCTCTACTTAACATCTGTGAAGGGACTCTGCCTCCCAAAGCAGCCCCTGAAATGTGTGCATGTTTCAGGGTCTGCCCAAGTGATGTGAGAGAATGGAGCCACCCAGGGATGAGTGAAACGTGGCAGTTGTCATTACAGAAGGACCAGGGGAAAGTGGCTGGCCTGAGGTTCACCATCAGAGGGAGGTCGCTTAAGAGGCTGAGGCCAGTGAGAGAGCAGGCCCATGTAAGCATGGTCGGGGCAGGCCCAGTAAGGATGTCCCATGGGAGCGGAGACCTGTGAGGGGCCTTCTGTGCAGATGGAACAGCAGGTCCAGAGACCCTGGGAGGAGCGCAGAGGCTGGGGCGGCAGGAGCTGGGAGAACAGGGGCTCATTGACAACTATGGAGGCCACAGAAGTCTGGATTCTGTGTAAATGAGATGGGAGCCCGGAGAATCTTTTGGGGGGTGGGGTGACGTGATCTGATGGGTTTTTTTAAAGATAGAATTGACATAAAATTTGTACATTTAAGGTGTACAGCATATCCTGATTGAATTTTTAAAGCTCACCTGAGTTGCTTGTGGGATGGACCAAGGTTGGGGGGTGGGGAAGCAGGAGTTATAGACTCATAGTTTTCTAGGCAGGAAAGAAGGCAGCCACCAGGACCTGGGGGTGGGGGGTGGGCAGTGGAGAGGAGAGGATTGAGCAGGTTTGGGTTTTCTGGCAGCCCACTCCCCATACCTGTCAGGTCCCTGAGCCCACCTCTACATTTCCCAGCCCTTGCTATCTATCCCCTCTCCCACCATCAATGTAGCCCTTGGCCTCTCCTCTTGCTGGTTTGGTGTCACCCTGGGAGATCAAGTGACTTGTAGCAGAAAATGTCATGCACCTAACCTAAGTCAGGAGACCTGGGTCAGTGTCAGCCCTCCCCCTGAGCTGCGGGGTGGCCTCATGATAGTCACTTCACCTCTCTGAACCTTAGTTTCTTGATCTGTCAAATAGGTCAGTGCCACGGTTTTGGGGGTAGAACATGGAAGAGAAAGGGTATCAGATATTCTGTAGGTGACGGGGTTTGGGGTGGTGGTAGAATCTTGAGTCTTCACTGGACACTCATGATCTTATCCCTCAGGGCTGCTGGGGCAGAGGCCAATGTATGCTTATGCTTGACTCTTGCTCCCTTTGCTCTCCTGTGCAGGAGCCCGACCCAGACTTAGAGGTGGTGTTGGAAAAGAAAGGCAACATGGACGAGGCGCACATAGACCAGGTATAGCCAGGTCTCATCCCCCTCCTCTGTGTCTTGCCACTCCCAATCAGGCCATAAGATCCTGGTCTCAGAAGCACCTATGACTCCAGAGGCCGCCAGGCCAGCTTCTGTGGCACACCTCCCATTGGCAGGGAACTCTGTGGTCTTCCCCATTTCCTGATGGGAGACCCCCTGGGACAAAATGTTCTATAAACATCTATTACGTTTATCTGGTCTAATGTGGCATTTAAGGCCATTATTTCCTTATTAATTTTCAGTCTGGATGATCTATCCATTGAGGTAAGTGGGGGTATTGAAAGTCCCCAACTAGTACAATATTACTGTTAATTTCTGCCTCTGTGTCCATTAATATTTGCTTTATATACTTAGGCACTCCTATGTTGGGTGCCTAGATATTTACAGTTGTTAGAGCCTCTTCTTGGATTGAACCTGGTATCATTATGTAATGTCCTTCTTTGTCTTTTCATTTTTTTGAATTTATTTTTTATTATTTTTTTAAATTTTTTTAATTTTTTAAAATATATCTTTTATTGATTTCAGAGAGAGGAAAGGAGAGAGAGAGAGAGTTGAAGCATCAATGATGAGAGAGTCATTGATCAGCTGCCTCCTGCACGCCCCCGACTGGGGATCGAGCCCACAACCCAGGCATGTGCCCTGACCGGGAATCGAACCCCAATCGCCTAGATCTTAGGTCGACGCTCAAGCCAAGCCCGGCCAGGCTATTTTTTATTTTTTTTAATCCTCATCCAAGGATATGTTTACCCTAATGGAACGAGGGAGGGAGAGAGAGGGGAGGGGAAGAAACATCATAGTGTGAGAGAGAAACATTGATCAACTGCCTCCCAAACGCACCCCAACTAAGGATTGGTCCCGCAACCTAGGTATGTGCCCTGACCCAGAATCGAACCCACAGCCTTTGGTGCACCGGAAGATGCCCCATCCAGTTGAGTCACCCCGCCAGTGCCTTATTTGCCTTTTTTACAGTCTTTGTTTTAAAGTCTATTTTGGCTGATGTGAATATTGCTACCCCAGCTTTCTTTTTATTTCTGTTTGCATGGAATATCTTTTTCCATGCCTTCACTTTCAGTCTGTGTGTCTTTTGATCTAAAGTGAGTTGTTTGTAGGTGGCATATAGACGGGTCTTGTTTTTTTATCTGTTCTGCCACCTTAAGTCTTTTGATTAGAGCATTTAGTCCATTTACACTTAAAGTAATTATTGACAGATATGTGCTTATTGCCATTTTGTTGTTTTTTGGTTATTTTTCTCTTCTTTTCTTGATCTCCTATGATTTGCTGGTTTACTGCCGTGTTTTGTTTGGGTTCCTTTCTCTTTTTTTTTTTTTGTAACTTTTTGGTTTGTGGTTACCATGAGGTTAATATATATGTATATATGTTTTTCCATTTCTATTTACAGCAGTCATTTTAAGCTAACAGGCTTTTAAATGCAAACACATTCTAAAAGCACTACACTTTTTCTCCTCCCTCCTGTTTTTGATGTGTTTTATATATTTTTGTTTTGTGTATCCCATGATTATTGTAATTTTACTACTTTTGTCTTTTAACTTTCATATTTGCTTTTTTAAATGGTTGATTCACTGTGTTTATTATGTATTTGCCTTAACCAGTGAGCTTTTCTTTCCTTCCTGTATTTTCTTATTTTTGGTTATGGCCTTTTCTTATCTGCATAAAGACCCTTTAACATTTCTTGTAAAGCTGGTTTAGTGGTGCTGAACTCCTTTAGTTTTTGCTTGTCTGGGAAACTCTCCTTCGGTTCCAAATGATAACCCTGTCGGCATAGTATTCAAGGTTTTAGATTCCTTTCTTTCAGCACTTTAAATATTTCCCACTAGTCCCTTCTAGCCTGTAAAGTTGCTGCTGGGAAGTGAGCTGATAGCCTTTTATGGTTTTCCTTTTATGTGACGACTTGTTTCCTTTTTGCTGCCTCCAAGGTTGTCTCTTTATCCTTAACTTTTGCCATTTTAATTACACTGTATCTTGGTGTGGGCCTCTTCGTGTTCATCTTGTTTGGAACTCTCTGCCTCGTTGTCCCGGATGTCCCTTTCCTTCCCTAGATTAAGAAAGTTTTCATCCATCATTTCTTCAAATATATTTCCAAACTCCTTTCTCTATCTCTCCTCCTTCTGTAACCCCTATGATGTGAATGTTAGAGTCCTTGATGTTGTCCCAGAGGGCCCTTATACTATTCTCATTTTTTAAAATTTTTTTACTTATTTACTTATTTATTTTAATCCTCACCTAAGGATATTTTTTCCATTGCTTTTCAGAGAGAGTGGGAGAGGGAGAGAGACACATCAATTGGTTGCCTCTCGCACGTGCCCCAACTGGGGCCAAGCCTGCAACCAAGGTACGTGCTCTTTACCAGAATCGGACCTGGGACCCTTCAATCTGTAGGCCAACACTCTAACCACTGAGCAAAAATGGCCTGGGCTTTTTCCTTTTTAAAAATTTTTAAAATTTATTTTTAGAGAGAGAGAAACATTGATTTGTTTTCCATTCATTTATGCATCCTTTGGTTGTTTCTTGTATGTGCCCTGACTGGGGATCAAACCTGCAACCTAAGTTTATCGGGACAACTCTGTAACCAACTGAGCTACTTGGCCAGGACGTATTAAAATTTCTTTTTTATTTTGCTGTCCTGATGGAGTGATTTCCACTATTCTTTCTAGGTCGCAAATCCGTTCTTCTGTATTAACTAATCTGCTGTCAGTTCCCTCTAATGTATTATTCATTTTAATTATTGTATTCTTCATCTCTGATTGTTTTTTTGGGGCTTTTTTTTTTTAAATATATCTTTATTGATTTCAGAGAGAGGAAAAGAGAGAGAGAGAGATAGAAACATCAATGATGAGAGAGTTTTCATTGATTAGCTGCCTCCTGCATGCCCCCAACTGGGGCTCAAGCCTGCAGCCCGGGCATGTGCCCTGACCAGGAATTGAACCGTGATCCCCTGGGTCCTAGGTCGATGCTAAAAGTGTTGAAGTGCTGAGTTCCTCTTTCTACTCTCAAGTTTGTTGAGCATCCTTATGACCATTTCTTTAAATTCTTTTTGTTTCTTTGTTAATCCGCACCCAAGGATATTTTTTCCATTGATTTTCAGAGAGAGTGGAAGGGAGGTGGGGAGGGAGAGAGAGAGAAACATCAATGTGAGAGAGATACATTGATCAGTTGCCTCCCACGCATACCCTGACTGGATTGAACCTGCAGCCCAGGTACATCCCCTTGAACAGGAATCGAAACCCTCAACCCTTTAATGTGTAGGCCAGCACTCTAACCACTGAGCCACACCAGTCAGGGATCTTTTAATTCTCTATCAGGCAAATTATCTGTTTCACTAGTTTTTCTTGTTCCTTCATTTGGGGCATATTCTTCTGTCTCCCCATTTTGCTTGAGTTTCTCCGTGTATTCCTATGAATTAGATGAAATAGCTCTCTCTCCCAATCTTGAAAAAGTAGCATCTGGCCCTGGCTGGTGTGGCTCGGTTGGGCGTCATGCCATGCCCCAAAGGGTTCCCAGTTCCATTCCTGGTCAAGGCACATAACCATGTTGCCACCTTGATCCCCAGCAGGGGGCATGCAGGAAGCAGCTGATCAATGTTTCTCACATTGATGTTTCTCTCTCTCCCTCTCTCTCTCTCAAAATCAATAAAAACTTTAAGTGGCCTCTGTGTAGAATGTGTGCAGGATTGTTTAGCAGGCCACTTGTAATCTGGTTGGATGTGCACAGTGCCTGGTGTGCTGGCTGGCTAGAAGCTGTGGGTTTCTGGTACAGCATCCTGGTATTTACCTCCTCCTTTGCTCCTCTGACCTGGGTGGGCCTGCCAAGTATGCATATGGTGCTCCCTGTTGCTTTAGTTGTCTGTTGCACTAGCTGGGGCTGAGCAGAGCTACTCTGGGTATGCACACGGCAGCACCCTACTAGTTGTGCACTTTCTCCTGGTGGGGCAGCTCTGTGAGCAGTTTTTTGCTAGCTCTGCACTCTCTCCAAGCGGGGAAGCTCTGCATGCACACACCACCCAGTGGGTACATGCAGCAGCACCCTGACCTATCCGCTCCATCAGTCTCCAGGTGGTGGGGCCCCTTGTGTGCACACTGGCGTCCTCCTGTTCCTGCTGGAGCTAGTTTCAGGTGGGGTGGCTGGGTCTGCGCTATGGTTGCCCTGCAGGTGAACCAGAGACCCTGAATAGAGCTCCTGCCCGCTATCCAACTGCGGGGGAAATATAAACAGTAGTGCTCACCATTCCGCCTTGGCTCCCAGAGATCTGTCTGAGCTCCCCAGCATTCTCTATGAGGTATCTCTCTCTCTCAATCATTGTGCAGAAGCTGTCTAGTTGGCCCTCAGTTGTTTCTCAGGAGGAATTGCTCTAAGTATAGGTGTGTTTCTATGTGTCCTTGGGAGGGAGTGAGCTCAGTGTCTTCCTAAGCCACTTTTTTAGACCTGCCCCTTGAAAATTCACTTTTAAGGAATGGCTAAGCAAGGATAAATGAGACCTGCCCAGTTTTTAAGCTAAGGGATTGCAGTCCTCAAGATGCTTAGAGGGTGCTTTAGACAAATGCCTCTCCCAGGTTGCAGCAGAGTAAAGCTGCTCTCTCCTATACCTCCAGTCCCTCTGCCCCATCTTTGTTCTGGGTTTTAAGCTCAAAAGAAAACTGTATATTTTCTTTTTTTTCTTTCCTCCCCCTTGCTCAGGTGAGGCGAAAGGCTTTGCAAGAAGAGATTGATCGTGAATCAGGCAAAACGGAAACCTCTGGAACCCGGAAGTGGACAGTAAGTTTGATGCCAGAGCTCTTTAAGGTAGTGCGGTCAGTATCCTGAACGCTCCCCCTCTCCTGGCAGCATGAGGAGCTGAGTGACAGGAGACTAAGTTAGCACAGGCCTAGAGAGTGCCCCAGCCCGCCAGCTGGCTCCCTCCGCCACAGAACTTGTCCTGAGTTAATTTCCTTCCTTGATCCAGGTCTGCATGACTTCAGAGTCACGGTCTTCTTCAGGAGCTGTTTCTTGCCTCTCCCACAGACTCAGGAAGGGTCTTAGGTCGCCGTTCTCTGAGGGGCTCACTTGCATTTTTTTGAACGTGGGTGATTTGTGCATGGGTGGTGGAGTGGTCTAGACAGGAATCAGGAGCCCTAAGTTCCTGGTCTGTCTCAGCCTCTGACTTGGCTGTGTGACCCTTTACTTCTCTGAGCCTCTACTCCCTTCCTGCTATAAAATGCGGTGCTTCTGGGAAGAGAAATGCATTTCAGATTGCCACTTGCCCTCCTCCACCTTCTGACAGCAACCTTAGGCTGATGGATGTGTGGCCAGCTGGTGAGGTGGGGTGTGCCGTGGCTGGGGTGTGCCATGCTATTTGCCATGAGTTAGGGGCGAAGGAGTAAAGCAGGCAAGCAGCTCGGCGTGTAAAAGGTACTCTGGTGCTGGCTAGACTTGAGATGGAATCCTAGTGGGGCCACTGATAAGGCTTGTTTCCTAGTTAAGCTGCAAACCCCCATTTCCTTATCAGTAAACTGGCAGTAGTAACAGTACTCCTCATAGGACTCTTGTTAGAATGAGGAAGATTGAGCACTGTGCCTGGTACACAGCAAGCACTTGATCAGCAGGATCCTCCCTGGTGAGACGGGCCAGGGAAAGGGCTTTGGAAATGAGGAAAATAACACCGTTTTTCTCTTAACACAGGGAACCCAGTTTGGCCAGTGGGATACTGCTGGTTTTGAAAACGAGGAACAGAAGCTGAAATTTCTCAAACTTATGGGTGGCTTTAAAAATCTGTCCCCTTCATTCAGCCGCACCCCTGACACGACTGGAAGACCCAACATGGCCCTTGGCAGGAAGGCAGCTGCCACCCTGCAGCAGAGCCTGCAGCAGGACTACGATCGGGCCATGAGCTGGAAGTACAGCAGGGGCGCTGGCCTCGGCTTCTCTGCCACCCCAAACAAAGTCTTTTATATTGACAGGAATGCTTCCAAGTCAATCAAGTTTGAAGATTAAACTCTACTGGCTTGTCTCCCGAGTCAGAATTGCTTTTTTTATTCAGTTAAGCAGATGAAAGCCTCTGACAGTTGTCTCAAATTGAACTACAAAGATTAAGGATGACTCTGGATGTGCTTGGACGACTTGGGGTGGAGTCAGCACGTTTCAGGAGCCAAGAGAACATGTGAGTGGCTAAAAAAACACTATTTTCTGTGTTAAGCCCTCCATCCCTGTTTGAAGACATCATGTATAAATAACATCTAATATTTGTACTTAGTACGTGCCAGACGCATATTAGTGTGTTTACTTGCATTAATGTATTTAATTTTCTTAACTATGGAATAGGTGCTCTTACTATCCCCATCTTATAGATGAGGAAACAGGTTCAGGGATGAAGTAATTACATTGTCCAGGGTCACCCAGCCAATAAGTGCCAATTGTATTTTTGTACCTCAAGCCCTATGTCACTATTCACTGCTCTGATGTCACCCTCTTGGAATTTCTCCCAGAATACTCACTGGGGATTAAAGGTCTTCTGATTGAAGGAACAGAAGTCTATTACATGTCTGAACCTCAAATAGGAAGTGGAATTAGTAATAAACAGAAATAAGCTCATTTTCCTTTCCCATCTTGGAGTAGATGCAGGCAAGTAAGCGTCTGAGTTGCCACCAAGCAGGTGTGGCTGAGCTTCCTGTTGCTGGGAAATGTGTTTCTAAACCAACCTTGTCTTTTCCAGCTGCCTGCCTTCTAACCCCAGTGCTGAGCCTGGATTTACTGTTTTGCTTTAATTGGATTCTGAACAAGGCATTTTTGAGAGCAGTTAGTCTTTCACAGGAACCAATAGCAAATTCCCAGGGATGTTTGTTAGATTCTTTGTCGTCATGAGGAAGGAATCCCAGGTGACTTCTTAATGGGTCTAATGCCAGGAGGCACAGACGTGGGGATGACACTGGAAGTTGCCTCATCTGCTGCGAGGACAGTGTTCCCAAGCCTGCACTCTACAGCCAGCCTCACAGTGACCCGAGTGATACCTCTCCACCTGGCATTTTGCTTCCCAAAAAACAGGTTCTGTTTGGAACACTTGCACATCACTTGGCCTGAATGCCTCCTACATACACCCAATTCAGGCAGCCGAACCACCCGGGAGGTTCAGTCCCAGGTGGCAGCAAGTCCTGGCATAGGGCTTGGTCCAGCAGCTCACCAAGGAAACACTCTTCCCCTCTGCGCCATCATCCGTGGCTGCTCAGGCAGGTGGAGATGGCCACAGCAATCAGGCAGCTTATCAAGACACTAGAACACTCCAGAGGAAGAAGAAAAACCTTGTGGCTCTGAACCAGCCCCTGACATGGAGGAAGATTCTCCTTGGGCCAGTCAGCAAGGAACGGAGGAGCGGATGCTGGTGAGACAAACATGGGCAGAGGTGAGGCAGTCTGCCTGGGCCCTGACTGAAACCACTGGCCAGGTCAAGAGGAAGGATTGTGGTCAGCCACTCTTGGGTGATTCTGGATAGAGGGCTATGGATTGTCCACTGTCTTGTCCCCACAGTGATAGCTCTCGTTGTGTGAAGGTCAGGCCTTTCACGGATTTGACTTTTGAACTCACTGTATCACCATTGGCTGAAGAGGTCCACTTGCTCAGGGGAGGGCTTGTTGAAGTCTGTTCCTGAAGTAGGGTCTGGCCAGAAAGGTTGGACGCCAAGGCAGGAGGATACCACAGTGTCCCCAGATTGGACTTACTGTCTGACCTGGTGTTAGCTGTGCTCTGTGCTTTGTAAATTGTGTTTTAAACCACTAAGCTTGTGGTAATTTATTAAAGGAGTGATCGAAAATGAGTACCAGTCTCATGCAGTTTTCTCATTTTTACCTTATTTACCAAAATTCTTGGGAGTTTTTAGTGTTCCATCATCCACTGTAATGAGAGGAGACTTCATCCCATGTAGGCTGTGGTTTTCAGAGACTGGCTAATTGATTTAGTAATGGGCTGAGGAAAACCACACAAAATCACAGAAAATCTAAGCCTCTGCCTCGCCGGAAGCTCAGAAGAACATGACTTAGAAGCTCTTTGGGGAATGGAAGAGCGACAAGAATTTGTTGACTCAGGCTTGGGAACTAATACTGCCTGATGGGTACAGCCTCAAACTAGAAGAAATAACTTTAAGTCACATAATTTGCACATTTTTTCATTTAAATAGTATCATATAGTAAGAGTGGTATTGGAAATAATTTTGTAAATACACTTGGGATATTTGGACGATGTCACCGTGCTCTCCGAATCTCTGTAGGTTCTGGTCAGTGAAGGGGCATTCCTTAGTACCTGCTGTTCTTTAGTGGATGCCGTTTTCTCAACAGAAGTCCTTGGGGGATAGAGGGATGTCACTATTAAGTTAGCCAGAAAATCTACAGTCTGATGGTAAACTGGTTAGTTAAAACATTAGTTTACATAAATTTACTTTTAAAATTATCTTAGCCAGTTTTACTGAAATTAGCTGTGTGAATTGTAATCATGCATTTCACAGGATAGAGACGAATCTATGTTCAGTGTGCACCATCCAAAAGCACAATAGTTTGGGGGGTGCCTTTAATCTACAATGTTGATGCATCCTCTTCAGCAGCCGATCAGCGTTAATACTCTTACTGATTCAAAACAAAGTGTCAGTGGAAGCTCATCAGTGGTAATACAAGGTCAGATTCCATGAGACTGGTGGTAAAAAGTAGACAGAATCACATGCTCCTTAGAATTATGCCTGCAAAGCACACCAGGCAGTACGTTTAGACACAGTCTCTTTCTGGATGAAGAGAATCAGGGGTAATTAAATGAACAGCCAGGAACATAAATATTCCTTCAGGAGGTTTATTCCATGACAGAATGTGTTTGAAATCCAATCAAGAGGTTCTTTTTGATAGAAAAAAATTAATTGAGCCTGCCTTTTATAAATCCCCCAAGGTGGTTTAGGCAACATTTAATTCCAGGCTCACATTAGGGAGAGGAAACAGTGGCTCTTTTAAGGTTCTCTTTCAAATTAAAAAAGAAAGACACCCACCAGAAAGAAAGATGTTACTTATATTCTGCTGCTCAGTGAACAAGACTGGATTTTAATGCTCTTACAATTCCACTTCTTCAGTGTGAGAATCTGGGTAGAGGCCAGAGCTTAAACCAGTTGTATATGTGTAAAAAAATAAAAAGGTCTTTTCTGGATTTGGCACCAGAGCCCCTGGGTTCAGGCCTTGGAGACAGGCCCCAGGGTCAGGTCCTTGTTTGCAAAGGAAGCCTGAGGGCCAGCTCGGTCAGATGAGCCATATCTGGTTGTCTGCTTCGCTTCTTGATGTATTCCAGAGTTTTCACCTAGGAGGAAAAAGAAGGGCCAATCTCCTTTCTGGTCCATAATTCTCTACCCTTGGAGCCAAGGCTGCAGCATGTCAGCCACACTGTGGCTTGCTGCTTTTTTCTTAGGAGAGAATAGGTGAAGTCTTTGGAGAATAAGGGATGGGAAGAAACAAGCAAAATCTTTAACTAAAACATCTTAGATTACCAATTGCCCTTAAAGTCAATTTGGATGTTAACAGGAATGACTGATCTTTTAATATGTGTAGTTTTTATTCAGCGGGGATAAACTTTTACTACTGTTATATTTTGCAGAGCAAGAAAATGACCCTGTGGGAATCTTGGGCCTGGCACCTTTCGAGAAGGGGAAGTAGGGCTATTTGATCCCCAGGCCCTGATGCTGTGCTGACGCCAGCTGTGCTCTGGCCAGTGGGCTTGTGGAGCCAGCCACAACCCCTGGGCTTTACGGATGTGGCAAGGGGCCCTCTGAGAGTCTCACCATGGTCCTGGTGTCCGCATAGCCATGTCTCTGTGCCAGGTGCCACAGGTTGACAGAGAGCTGGTTGAGCCTGTTGTTGCGCAGGTCCCCATGGGCCAAGATGCTGTTAAAGAAGGAAAGACCCAACAAGCTCTGGCGCTTCAGGGCCTGAAACAGAAGAGAGAAGTTAATGTCTGGCACTGGGGCTTGGGCCAGGCCCAGTGGTGATGCTGGCCTGGGTTCAAATACCAGCTCTATCATGATCTTCTGCAGGGCAAACCGCTTAACCTCCTGAGTCCCAGCTTCTGCATCTGTGAGAAAGGAATAAAATACCAGCTTAGGGTAAATGGGGATTGAATGAGAGGATAAACGTAAGCCCTTCAGCTTTGGAAAAGAAGTAAAACTATTATTTGCAGATGACATGATTGTACAGAGAGAACCCTAAAGATCCCACCAAGAAACTATTAGAGCTGATAAGTGAATTCAGTAAAGAAGCAGGATATAAAATTTGTACCAAAAAGAATAAAATACCTATGAATAAATTTAACCACAAAGGTGAAGGACATGTACTCAGAAAACTATAAGACACTGAAGAAAGAAACTGAGGAAGACACATAAATAGAAGGATGCACCATGTTCATGGATGGGAAGGATTAATATGCCTCCCAAAGCAACCTATAGAGTCAGTGCAGTTCCTATCATGATACCAGTGACATTTTTCACAGACTAGAACAAATAACCCCTAAATTTATATGAGACCCCAAAAAGACTCTGAATAGCCATAGCAGTCAAAGTTGGAGGTATCACACTACCTGATAAAAACTATACTACAAGTCCATAGGAATCAAAACAGCATGGTACTGGCATAAAAACAGACCAATGGAACAGAATAGAGAGCCCAGAACTAAACACACCTATGTGGTCAATATGACAAAGGAGGCAAGAATATACAATGGGGTAAAGACTGTTTCTTCAATAAATGGTGTTGGGAAAACTGGAGATACATGAAACAAAAGGAGACCGTTTTCTTATACCATATACAAGAATAAGCTCAAAGTGGATTAAAGACAAATACAGGGTGTCCCCCCAAAATATATACATTTTAACAGCTGATAGCTCAATTTTTAAAAAATGTATCTTCGTTCTTGGAAGTATTACAGATGTCCCCCTTTTTCCCCATTGACTCTCTCATCCCCACTCCTGCACCCTCCCCAAACCTTCAGCACACTATGGTCTGTGTCCATGGGTTATGCATATATGGATATAAGCTCTTTGATTAATCCTCCACACCCCCCAAGAATCGTCAGTCTGTTGTAGACTTCCATGTCTCTGGATCTATTTTGTTCATTAGATTCCACATGTAAGATCATGTGATATCCGTCTTTCACTGACTGGCTAATTTTGCTTAGCATAATACTTTCCAGGTCCTTCCATGTTGTCTCAAAGGGTACGAGATCCTTTTTTACAGCTGTGGAGTATTCCATTGTGTAAATGTACCACCTTTTTTTTATCCATTCAACTACTGATAGGCACTTGGGCTGTTTCCAGATCCTAACTATTGTAAATAACCCTGCTATGAACATAAGGGCACATATATTCTTTCTGATTGGTGTTTTGGGCTTCTTAGGATATATTCTCAGAAGTGGGATCACTGGGTCAAATGGCAGTTCCATTTTTAATTCTTTGAGGAAACTACACACTGTTTTTACCAGTCTGCATTTCCACCAGCAATGTACTATGGTTCCCTTTTCTACACATCCTGGCCAACACTTGTTTGTTGATTTATTGATGGTAGCCATTCTGGCAGGTGTGATGTGGTACCTTATTGTGGTTTTAATTTGCATCTCTGATGTTTAGTGACATTGAGCATTTTTTCATATGTCTAATGGCCATTTGTGTGTGCCCTTGGAGAAGTGTCTACTCAGGTCCCCTGCCCATTTATTTATTTATTTATTTATTTGCCCACTTTTTAATTGGATTGTCTTCCTTTTGTTAAGTTGTATGAGTACTTTATGTATTTTGGAAATTAACCCCTTATCAGATGTATCATTGGCAAATATAGTCTTCCATACAGGGGGTTCCCTTTTCATTTTGATGTAGAAACTCTTTATTTTGATGTAGTGCCACCTGTCTATTTTTTCCTTTGTTTCTCTTGCCCTAGGTGTAGTATCAGTGAAAATTCTGCTACAAGAGATGTCTGATATTTTGTTGCCTACATTTTCTTCTAGGATTTTTATGGTTTCAAGACTTACATTTAAGTCTTTTATCCATTTTGAGTTTATTTTTCTTGTGTATGGTTAAGTTGGTGGTCTAGTTTCAGTTTTTTGCATGTACCTGTCCAATTTTCCCAACACAATTTATTTTCTGTTTTTACTTCATTATATGCTCTTGCTTCCTTTGTCAAATATTAATTGAGCATAATGGCTTGGGTCGATTTCTGGGTTCTCCGTTCTGTTCCACTGATCTATAAGCCTGTTCTTGTGCCAGTAACAGGCTGTTTTGATTACAGTGGCTTGATATCTGGTATTGTGATCCCTCCAACTTTGTTTTTCTTTCTCAAGATTGCTGCAGCTATTCGGGGTCTTTTTTGGTTGATAGCTCAATTTTGAAAGTGAAATGTATTTTAATAAACACTGCCTTTACAGTTATTCAAAGTGTGTATACATTTTTGGGGGATACCCTAAATATGACCTGAAACCACAAATCTCTGATTAGAAGGACCATAGGCAGTAAACTCTTTGACATTACTCTTAGTAACATTTTTTTAATGGATATGTCTCCTTAGGCAAGGGAAACAAGAGAAAAAATAAACAGCTGGGACTACATCAAACTAAAAAAGTTTTTGCACAGCAAAGGAAACCATCAACAGAACAAAAAGACAACCTACTGAATGGGAGAAAATATTCTTCAATGATACATCCAATAACAGGTTAATATCCAAAATTTATAAAGCCCTGGCTGGTTTGGTCTGGTTAGAGTGCCAGCCCGCAGACTGAAGGGTCCCAGGTTCAATTCCACCCACGGGCACGTGCCTCAGTTGCAGGCTCAATCCCTGACCCAGGTCAGAGTGCATGCAGGAGGCAACCAATCAATGTGTCTCTCTCACATAGATGTTTCTGTTTCTGTTTCTCTCTCTCTTCCTCTCTCTATGAAAAGCAATGGGAAAAATATCCTGAGGATTAAAAAAAAAGGAAAAACAATTTATAAAGAACTCATACACCAAAAGNTCAATGTGTCTCTCTCACATAGATGTTTCTGTTTCTGTTTCTCTCTCTCTTCCTCTCTCTATGAAAAGCAATGGGAAAAATATCCTGAGGATTAAAAAAAAAGGAAAAACAATTTATAAAGAACTCATACAACTTAACACCAAAAAACCCCACAAACAATCCATTAAAAAATGGGCGGAGGACGTGAATACACATTTCTCTAGAGGATACTGAGATGGCCAAGAGACAAAGATGCTCAATGTTATTACTCATCAGAGAAATGAAAACTTAAACCACAATGAGGTATCTCCTCACATCTGTAACAGTGACTATCATCAATAAATCAACAATGAAGTGGTAGTAAGGATGTGGAGAAAAGGGAACCCTTGTGCACCACTGGTGGGATTGCAAATTGGTGCAGGCACTATGGAAAACAGTATGGAGGTTCCTCAGAAAATTAAGAATACAACTACTGTATGATGCAGCAATCCCACTTCTGGGTACTAATTCAAAAAGATATATTCACTCCTATGTTCACTGCAGTGTTATTTACAATAGCCAAATACAGAAGCAACCCAAGTGCCCATCAATAAACCAGTGGATAAAGAAGAGTTGGTGCATATATAAAATGGAATATTATTTGGCCACAAAAAAGAATGAAATTTTACCACTTGTGACAATACAGATGGACCTCCAGAGTGTTATGCTGAGTGAAATAAGTCAGAAAGAAATACCATATGATTTCAATTATATGTGAAATCTAAAAAACAAATGAACAAACAAAACAGAAAAAGACTCAGATACAGAGCCTGGGGCAATGTGGTTCGCTCGGTTGGAGCATTGTTCCATACGAAAGGTGACAGGTTTGATTTCCAATTCCCCGTCAGGGCGCATACCTAGGTAGAGGGTTCAATTCCCGGGAGGCAATCAACTGATGTTTCTCTCTTCCCCTTCCTCTCTTTAAATACCAATTTTAAAAATATTTGTATTAAAAAAAAAAAAAAAAGACAGATATAGAGAACCAACAGATGGGAGGGGGGGCTGGGTGAAAAAGGTGAAGGGATTAAGAAGTACATTATTGGTAGTTACAAAATAGTCACAGGCTGTAAAGTACAGCATAGGGAATATAGTCAATAATAAAATAATAACCATCCATGTATGGTGTCAGATGGGAACTACACTTACCACAAGGGTCATCACTTCATAAGTTATATAAATGTCTAACCATTACGTTGTACACCTGAAACTAATATAATACCATATGCCAATTCTAATTGGAAAAATATATAATAAAGTATTTTAGTGGAGAAAACAGCACAAGCAGCAACTTCAAACAGCTGGATGAGGTGGCTGAGTGAAGAGACCCAGGCCCCTCTGGCCCCCTAAACTGAGCCTGCCTTAGCAGGGGCCTGGGCCAGGTGACAGTCACGGAACCAGCTGAGCAGCATTACTGTCATGGAGTGGGGGACGCAGTGCAGGCCCAGGCTCACAGGCACCTTACCTGGCACAGACTCAAGAACTGAGTGGCAATGGCCTGCTCTGGGCCCTGCGTTTAAACAGATAGAACCTGGGCACAGATGAGCATTCAGCAGGTTCCAGCCCACTGTGTTCACCTTTTAAACTGGCCATTGTCCGCCACCTGGAGGCCAGGAAGGCCCCATTTTCTGCTTGGATCTACAGGACCAAGCTAAAAAAAATCCTATTTCAAATCCAATGAAAGCGTCTCCCTCTGAGAGAGGCCCTTCATCTACATTGCACTGAAGTGGGAGAGACTTTTAAAAACTCAAACAAGGAAGGCAATCTCTCAACTATTTCTCTATTTTGTATCTTCTCAATAAGCATTTTACCCTAGAAATCGCAATTCCCATGTCTTAAAAATGAAGTGAGAGATGGGTGTGAGGATGAGAAGGCATGCCAGCCAATGCGCAAAGACCATAGCTACAATCCCGGTAAGAACCAAATCGGGTCCCTGAGCCCCTCCTCTCCACAGAGGCTTTACATAGAAAAGAGCTGCTTTTCATGCTTTTCCTATGAGAACTGCAATTCCAGGAAGCGCTAAGGATCTGGCGTGGTTCCCAGTTTCACCACACCCAAGCAAACAAGTTCACAAAGCTTGGAGTTAAAACAGGGCTGGCTCCTTTACATGGACCCAGAGGACAATCTGGGAAGCAGGGCTGGGCCAGCACTGGGATGAGAGACTCAGGACCAGCATCAGCACTGGAGTTTCCAATGGCACAAAGCTTCGCTCCCCACAGGGTGGAGAGAAACCTGACTGACTCCTGTAGGGCACCAGGCTCCAGGGTATCTCACTCTGAGCCCCCTGCCACACTGTCGCCTGTGAATTTCACACAACTGGTCAATGGAGTATGACATGTTCCATGCAGCTCGGTTCACTGTATTTTCCTATTAAACATGTGCATATTGACAGACATTTTAAGTGCACACCCCTGGCATTTATTTTTGTGAGTTCAAATGGTCCTCGGAAACAATCCGGCTTTGCTATTCTATTAGAATCCTGTGGCAGCCTTTGCCACCATCAGTGCCCCTCCCCAAGAGAAAGAGGCTGATGCTACATGAAAATAGTTCCAAATTTTAGGGTTCTGGGCCTTATCTTGTGAGCTTGAAGGTCCTAGGCTGTGGTCATTTACGCTGTGGCTGCCACCTCCGGTTCTATCTAGCCTGCTGCTTCAGTGAAAAGTGTGTTTCCAAACCATGTGGCAAAACTCCTTGAGTGCCAAACTCACAGCCCTGTTCTACAAGGTCCCTGGCTAGAAGCTGGGGCCAGAGCCAGGATCAGGGAATAGTGCCAAGAATTTTCCATGACAGGGAGCAGAAGGGGACCTAATTAGTGTAACAAGTGCAGGCTGAAGGCCAAGGACACTCCACTTTTCCTGTAGGTAGAAAGGGCTCTTCTGAAAACCACCTGAGCAAAGACAAAGAAAAACTAGGTCTTTAACCCTCAAGGAGAGTTTGCGAGTGTCTAAAAAAGGCCTTTCGGTTGGGGAAGAGGCTGCCTCTTCTAATACTCAGGGTTTGATAAGTCAGTTCCTGAAGAAATTGGGGTTTTAATGCTGCCACTTGCACTGACAGCCAAGTGCCCTCCATGCACTGTCTCCAGGGTCGGCGGGACACACCACATACCCTTCCCCTCTAGAGAGAGGGCGCTGAGGCACTCAGGGCCCAGGACACACTGGCTCTGTACTTTTCCTCTGCCCTCGGGACTGCTAACCTCAAGGCTGGTCCTTTGGACAGTGCCCCTGACCTTGGCAGAGGCCACCAGGGAATAAAGCCCAGAAGAAAAATCCCCTGCTCCAGTACCTGTTTGAATACTGCAGGAAAATGGGAACCCAGGCCAAATATGTATGACATACCTATGTCCACCCACAGCTCTGTAATGCTTTGGTGGGGTGGGAAAGGGGTTAAGGGGCAACACTGGTATTTTATATAGTTCTGGAAATGAGAAAGAATTAAAATCCAGTTTTGATCTTATTTCATCTTCAAAGGGTTTGACTGGGGGAGGGGGGGCAATGTAGGAATGAGAGACTCCAGGAAGGGGCGGAGGGCTCCAGAAGGAAGGGGAGGGCTGGAAGGCCACTGAGGACTGAGCTGTCTGACATCCATCTTGAGTCGGAAAGGGAACCGGGGAGGACAGTGAGGAAAAGCAGGGCCTGCCAGGGAGCAACCGAGGAACGGCCTGACAGGCGCTCAGAGCTCCAGGCGGCAGCTTGCATCAGTGAGCAAGGCCAGGATGACAGGCACCGGCGGACCACAGGAGGGACACTGAGAAACGGCAGGCACTGGCTTTGACTTCTGGGCACTACCAACCTCCTTCCACCTTGACCACACAACAGGAATCTGCCTCAACACAGTGTCTGAGCGACCAAGCAGCTCAGCCAACGCTGACACAGGGCCTCTGGGATCCATCTGTCAGCCATATGTTTGCACTGAAGCTGCAAACATGGAAGCCACGGTCGGCATAACTAGGGAAGAGACCAGGCACAGCCGTGTCTTCACGACGGGCTGCCTTCTGAGTAACGCCGCGTTAGGGGACTGTGTCCGTGTGTGACATCAGAGCACACTGACTCGCCTGGATGAGAGCCTGCCCCTCACCTCGGCTGCGAGCCGTGCAGCATGTAAGGTACTGAACGCTGCGCACTATAACACAAGGATGAGTATTTAGGGATCTAAACACATCTGAACACAGAGAAGGTGCAGTAAGAACACAGTACACAGGATTTTTACACGATGGGTGGCGCAGCAGGTTTGGTTCACCAGCATCACCACAACCACGCGAGGGATGCGCTGTGCTCCGGCGTTATGGCGGCTGTCACTGGGCAATAGGGGCCCGGGGATGCAGCGGACAGCAGGGCAGCCTGGGGAGGCACACTGCCAGCACAGGGCAGGAGCGAAGGCTCCAGGGCCTGCACGTGAACACAGTACTCAAGTGAAAGCTTCCTTTCCAGAATGAGCCGACACCCAACCACCCCAGAAACTTGTGCCTTTAGAGCGAGCGAGCAGCAGGGCACCTACCTCGTCCTTGGCCAGGGCCCTCAGATGCTCCAGGATCTGGGCCATCACTGTCTCGCACAGCTTGTTGTTTTCAGCCAGAAACTTGGAATCTCCCCCATAGAGGTTGTCGTTGGAGTCGACTGAGGAAACAAACGCGAGCAGAGACCTTACTGAGGCCATCCTGGCCAGGGAGAGGCAGCCCGGGGCAACAGATGGCGGGGAACCACAGCAGGGCAAATGGGGGTGGCCAAACCTTCCCACTGGGCTTGCAGCCTTCTGAATCAGAGAAAATACCTCCCCTTCTGGACATCTGGAGCCAGGGACCAGGGTGTGGAAGGGGACATCAGGAATTACGGTGACCATCAGAGCAGTGGCCAATGCTGAGTGCTTCCCATATAGCAGGCACAGAGCTAAATACTTTCAACATGTTACTGTAAGTCCTCATGACCAGCATGTGAGAGAGGTGATATTAACATCTCTCTTTGACAGATGGGGAAACAGGCTCAGAGGTGGTCCTAGAGGATGTCCCAGAAGCCTAAGCTGTTTACTACTACACCCAGCTGCCTCCCCGTCACCCCTCAAACCCCCTCAGACCAACCCTAAAGGTCTGTATGTCTACTGGTGAACTTGAATCCCTTTAAAAATGCCTCTTGCCAAAAAGTGTCCCACTCTGCTTGGGCACCTCCTGTGACAACCACTACCTGGAGAATGATCCGCCTGAGCTGGACCCCCCTCCCTTCCTCCTTCCTATCGGCTGACCGCTGGGTAAGGAAGGAGGCAGGGGGCGCAGTTTCTGCGTCAGCATATGCAGATCTGCTGCTTGGTTTAACAGCTGAGCAGTGCTCTGTGGCATGGTGGACCAGAATGTGTTTAACTGGTGCCTGCTGTGACGCTTCAGTTTTCTTTCCTTTCTTTGTCTGGGGGTGGAGGCTGGGCAGGGCTGCTGTGAAGTTAGGATCCATAAGGAAACCACAACCCTGCCTTGCAGAGCCAGTTCTTTCCCTCCACGCTATGGGAGCTTACTCCCCCACTTCTCACAACTGGGGCACGGTCGAGCACTGCCAGTTCCAACTGAAATAAACAGGCAATGCTCTCAGGAGCCCCATTCAGCGGAGGGCCCACAGGTTGCCCGTGTACAGAAACCCTGGCAGCACCTGCAGCAGGCGCCTCATGGTCAAGAAGAGGGAAGGGGTAGTGGCAGCTCTCTGCTGCTTCTGATCTGGCAGAGGCCTAAAATTTGGGCCACTGTCCCAGGTGTGGTGACCTCTGATAAACTAGTGGCCATGCTGGTGCCTCCAGAGGGGGTGGCCGTGTACATGTGGCCACGAGCACATGGCACTAATCCACTTTATGGTGCAGGGTCAGTTTTAATAAAGTGAGTTCAGTTTGGCTCCTCTGCAGAAATAGACTTTGCTATGCTCTTGAAAGTCAAGGCTGTAGGAAGCTGGAAAACAGCATACTGGGGACCCCTCTCTGCCCTACAGTAACAGCTGATGCCATTTTGATTCTTCTGGGCCCACCTTCCCACTTGCTTGCCCTATAATGCACATGCGCACACATACCCATCTGTAAGCAGGGTGCACACGCACAGCCAGGAAGTAGAGAGCACAGTAAGTCTCGGTGCTCCCCAGCATCTGTCTGCAGGGATCTCTAATCCAGGTCTGAAGCATTTGTCTGCGGGCCCTTCCAGGAAATGCTGTCTGGGCTATTTGCTTTGAACAACTCCTCCAACACTAGATTGGTAGGAAAAGGCCCTGGGTGCTGACAGTCTGTCCCAGGATCTCTAAGACCACTCTCGCATCTGTTGCAGCTACCCACCATGTGAGGAGAGCAGTTGTTCTCGTATAAAGTGAAAGCCTTTTACTCAGCCTCTTACTACCTCATTTTGCAGAGCAGCAAGACTGCAGCTAGTGACGGCATTTCTCATGTCCCTGCCAAGGACGAGACTAGTTCCTGGCATAAATTCCCAGTCTTGCTCCAGCCTGGAATCTACTCTCCTTCTGATTAGCCCAACAGTGGAGAAGAGAGAAGGTCTAAGAGCACCATGGTCAATTAGCCAAGGTGCAGGCTTCCTGACCAGAGGGGCCAGAGGTATGCCAGGGACAAGCCAGCCTGGTCCCTACCCTCTCAGAGCTCACAGTCTATTTAGGAGATGCAGGCGAGCAAACAGCAATTGAAATAGCGTGTACTGAGTGTCAGGAGGGGTGGTACAGGGGTTACAGGATCCTTTAATCTAGGCTTAGGGTGGAATTCTGGAATTAGCAAGATCTGCACTGAATTTACCAGAGAAAGTGAACAAAGGGGTCAGGAGCGGGGAAACAAGTGTCTGGTTAACACTTGGTGGTGACAGGAGGGAGGGAAGAGGGGTGACTTTGAGAATTAGGAAGAAGCTGGTCAGGCTCTATAGAGTGAGCCTGCGAGTCCAGACCTGGGAGAAATTATATCCCTACCACTGAAAACAGCCCACGATCTCTGCATCTGTTTGCTTCAAGGGTCCGGCAGGTGGTGTGAAGGAGTGAGGGCTACGCTGGCTGCACAGCGGCGTCCTGGATGGCACTCTTCCCCTGGGTGTGCTCTATCTGCACAGTCAGTACACAAACCTTCCCTTCCACGTCAAACACGTGCACTCTCGCACGGAAGCACTGGAGTTCTGGCTCTAGATAATTTCAAGACATTCTATTTTTATTAATCTGGAAAGGAAGCAGCCAAGCCATCCTTCATAAATGCAAAAAATACCTGACCCCAGTTTTTCAGAAGTCCTAAGTTGTGTCGATGCTGTCTAAAAGGCTTCCTAGAGTAAGAAAGGGGTGGGGAAAGGGAACTCACCACCCCTGGAAAGCCTCCACAGCCCCAGGACTGTCTCCTACTGAGACAACTGTCAAGTCACAATGTGCATCCAAAGCAAACACAGCTGGGCCAAGAGGAAGGAAAAGAAAAGCCATCCTTTCATGTCCATCTCTAAAAGCCAAAAAACTAGACTCCTGCCTCTCAAACTCCTAGCTGTGTGGTTGAGACAGAAGGTCAACTGGAGAGGAGAGAGCTTGCTCCTCTCACAGGGCCTTTGGGTCACAGACCCACCTCCCATGTGAGTGACTAGACCTCAAGTTACTGTTCAGAGTCCTCAACATGCTCATCACAAAAGAGGAAATAAAAATGCCAACAAATATAGGAAAATGTGTTCAACCTCATTACCATCAGAGAAATACAAATTATACTCGTCAGAATATCCCAAATAACAAAGACTGGCCACACCAAGGGAATGCTCATTCCTGCCCATGGGAGTGTCAATTGGTATAACCATTCTGGAAAACTGACACAGTATCTACAAAGCTGAGCATAAGCAAATCCTATGAGCCAGCATTTCCACCGCTAGGGATGTAGCCAACACAAATGTACACCAAGAATCACATATTCAGAAACTTTCATAGCAGCACTGCTCATAAGAGCCCAGAACTGGAACTGGAAGCATAAAAATGTTCACGCATAAGGGAATGAATGAATTCTGGGATACTCACACAATGGAACAGTATACAGCAGTGTGAAAGCATGAGCTGCAGTTCCAGCTCAGAAGACTCTCAGAGACATAAAACTGAGCAAAAGAGGCCAGACACCAAATAATGTTTGCTAAATGAGTTCACTTACATAAAAGTCAAACTGGCAAACAAATCAGTAATGCTAGAGGTCAGGAGAACAGTGTACATTTGGAGAGGAAAGTGGTGGTGCTGATCAGAAGGAAATGTGGGCACTTCTGGGGAACTGGTAATACTCAATTTCTTGATATGGGTGGTGGTTGCCTGGGTGTGTCCACTTTGTGATCATTCACTGAGCTTTATAGTTTGTGGTATGTATGTTATGTTATACTTAATTAAAACATTTTTATTTTGTAATCAAGGAGACAGCATAATATATGCCCCATAGCTCTGAGTGTGAGTTCCATTCCCATCACTGACTGGCCCCAAGTCCCTGAAACCATGTGGCTGGGAAACCATGCTCTTCCCAGTCTCACCCTGATGGCATGTAAAATGGGAACTGAGTGCCTGTCTTCATGGCAACTCTGAGGATTAAAGGAGAAAGCGGCCCTTGGAGGCTGGTGCGGTGCCTGACACGCAGGAGGAGCTCAGGTCGGGGCAGCTGTCATCACCTGTATTAACCCACCTCCCTGAGTTACGTCTTTACCATCAGCCTCCGAGTCCCAACTAGAGGAATCCTCTGAGAGATGGCAGAAGGCCACATCCCTTACCACTGCAAATTTGTTCCCTGAAACCTCCAAATGGAGAGACAGTTGCTTAAACTCTAAAGTATACAATTACTGCCCAGAGCACTTTTAACAATAGGGCCTTTTTTTTTTTTTTGGAAACCAAGAATTAGAACTGAGGGTCTGACAAGCAGGAGGATGCTTGGGCTCAGAGAGCAGAGGTCTGGAATTGGAACTGTCCCCATGTTATGTACAGGACATGAGGCTGCTCCCAAACTTGTAGCAGCAAGTTCAGAATGGCTGGTAGTACATGGGGGCCACCCAAGGCAATCTCCTTCCTCCCGAGCATTTGATCTAGGGGCTTGCTGAGCCTCAGCATCACTTGAAATAATGGGTAAAAATACCCAGACCAGAGGCCCGCCTGAGACCGTGGCCTGGGATGAAGCTCATGCACATGTACACTTAACCACCATTCTAGGTTTTTCTGTAGAACACCAAAGACAGCACCGACCCAAAAGTGGGATTCTCTGAATTCATCTGACTATCAAATCTTGGACCTTGGATGCTTGTTAAAGATACAGATCCTCAGGTCTCTTCCTGGGGATTCTAATTTAGAACGGGCAGGTGGGGCTCAGGAATCTGTATTCTTAAGCATTGCCCCAGGTAATTCTTACATGGGCAAATTGAGTGAGACCTTGAACTAGAAGTTCATAATAGGCAAGACATAAGGCAGATTAAATGAAAGAAAATGAAGACATTTTACTTGACTTCCATGAAATTCAAGCAGAGTGCAGAGTGGTGGGAGGGGCCCTGGCTACCTTTGTCTACGTGGTAGAGGTAGGTCTCCTGACTCATGGCCGATAGGAGGTGCAGGACATAGGTGTAGATGCGGATTTTATCATCACTGTTGTCCTCCCAGGTATAGTCCTGGATCACGTTGAGAAGTTCTCGAACAAGAAACAGGACCCCATGTTCAGGATGATCCTAGTGGAGAATCATAGAAGGATAAACATTCCTAGATATGAGGAGAAAAAAAAAAAATCAAGATGGAAACCCAGGTCCCTCCCTTTAGCAGCTGTGGAGAATTTTAAGTACCAGGTATGGCTAAACCATAAAGAGGAAACGATAAAATGCCATTCATCCCACTCATCAGCACACTACAGTCTGTGCAGACACACTCTGAGAACCTCCCTGTTTTTGTCCCAGATACGAGAAAGCAAAGTTACCTGTCAGCTTAATGGCCTGTCTCCAAAATTACAATCCGTTTCTCACATACGGAACAGGAAAAAGTCCTGTTCCTCCAGCTACAAAAACAAGATTGCAGATCTCGGAGCAGATGAGCAACAGAACCACCTACCTCGTGTAGGGCTCCCAATGATCGCTGTCACCTCGAGGCACTGACTAAAAATAGCCTCACTAGGTAAGGCGGTCAACAACATCACCAGCTAAACTGAGGACTCTCGGGAGGAGAAAAACCCAAGAGACAGTCGCAGAGCTTATAACAAACAGTGTTTCTCAGATGCTAACCTGAATCAAAAAAGTGTCGGGAAGCAAAAAAGTTGCTGCTTCAGTTCAGTTCCAAAAAGGTATATTCGATCATGTGGCTCCCCTGCTTAGCCCTCTCCAGAGACTTCTCCCACTGAGAGTACATGTCCCGCTCCTGCCACCAACACCTCGCCAACCCACTGGTGCGCCTTCCCCTCACTCACTCTAGCCATCCCTTTAAGACTCCTGGGACCAGCTGGATCACTCAGGGTCCTGCAAGGACACAGGGCACACTCGAAGGGTTAATGAGGATTGTTTAGTGAGGATTATTTATAAAGACATGGGCACTAGGGAGGCACCCAGGGCCTGGCTATTGCAGGAAGCCGTCACCACCCTTGGGCAACACTACCGGACCGTTCAGCACCTGCAGCTGGAAGAGGCAGCCTGCGAGGGCTGTGGCCTTGGGTGCAGGAACCCAGCTATCGCCTAACCATGGCCGAGAGACTGCAAATACCACAGCCTCAGTCCTGCTGTCCGATCTGCCGCTGGTGCCTCCCCCTGGCTGAATGAGTTGGAAGATGGAAGGAAGTCCAGGTGATGCAGTACCCCGACGGGTAAGACGAAAGGATGCTATGGGGGGGGAGGGACAGCTCACGCTCTGCCCTCAGGCCCTACCGTTCCCTCTGCCGGAATCTTTAACCGCAAGATTTTATCAAGACCGGACTGACTCCATGACAGCCTTTAGATCTCACCTTACATGTTAGCTCCTCAACTAGGCCTCCCCTGATCTTCCTCCTTTCTCTTTTTTTAAGCCTCACCTGACGATATGTTCATTAATTCCTCTTTTTATTTTAGAGAGAGGAGAAGGGGAGGGAAAGAAACATCAATGGGCTGCCTCCCGTACACGCTCTGACCAGTAATCAAACCTGCAACCTCGGTGTGTACCCTGACCGGGAATCAAACCTGCGACCTCTTGAGGCACAGGTTGGTGCTCAACCACTGAGCCACACTGGCTGGGCAAGAGTCAGCTATTTGGAACACAGGCCTGGAGCATGAGAAGTGCTATAACCGAGGTGGGTGGGCATTAACAACCAGCAAAGTCAACGTGTGTATCCAGAGCAGTAACGCTTCCAACGGGTGCGCGTGAGGGCGGAGGGTGTGCGATGCCTTGGAAGCTATGGACATCTACAGGAACTGCTCGTGTGGCACTGGCGAGAAAGAGTACGCGTGACTTCAAAAGCGCCGCCTCACAACTGCTCGACCGCGGTCTGCCTTCTGAGCGCAGCGTCCGCCTCAGCTGGCACCTGCCGACAGCTGCTCCTACCGGCCTATATTGTTCTGCCATGTGGATGTTCAAAAATACATTTCATTTAAGGATCCGCCTTGGAAAGAGACAACAATCTGAATGTTCCAGTAACTAAATTTCAACACAATTCGCCATAATTATTGAGGGAGACCAACACACCTTCAAAAGGTGGAAGAAGGGGGATGAAAACGGGAAGGTTTGTAGTTAAGCCATTCCCTTGAGCTTTTGCTCACAATCGAGGAGAGGAGAGATTATTTCCAACCTTCTGGATAAGAACATTTTCCATGTGACATCCATGCTTCCATGGCTATAATACTTTTTAAAGAAAATAGACTTTGATGGCTCAGTGCCAGCAACTGAAGTAAGGCAAACACAGATTTTTTAATTTTTATTTTTTAATCCTCACCAGAGGATATTTTTTCCATTGCTTTTCAGCAAGGGGGGGGGCAGGGAGACGTCGATGTGAGAGAGACACATCAATTGGTGCCTCCCACTCGTACCCTGACCAGGGCTGGAGATTGAGTCTGCAACTGAGGTATGTAGCCTTGGTCGGAATCGAACCCAGACCCTCAGTGAGCGGGCTGACACTCAACTACTGAGCCAAACTGGCTAGGGCTGAATTTTTATTTATTTATTTATTTATTTATTTCTAAAGTTAAAAGAGTTCCTGGATTCAGTTGGCAGTCTGAGTGGGAAAGGTCCCCCCGGTGTCCTTGCCAAGGATGCCTCTCTGGCGTAATAAACACATGCTTACAAGGAGGCTCCCAAGGGGCCGCTGGAAGGGACTCAAACCTCCCTCCCAGCTGCACAGACGGGGCTTGGCTTCCACACTGGCAATACCCCTTTGGGTTCCTACTATGTGGGAATACTTCTATTAAATGTCCTTGGGAGAAGAGAGAATACCCTGAAACTGACGACTTCCCAGGAGAGCTAGATGAGAGGTAGAGAAGATAGCACGGAGCACAGACATCCTGCCTTTGAATTCTGTCTTGGCCACTTACTGGCTGGTGACTCTGGAAGAGCCGCTTCACCTCTCTGTGCCAGTGAGGTCTGCTTCTGTGAAATGGGAGCAATAATAGGCATTTGGAGTACTTGTGAACTGCTGGCTTGCCCATTGTAAGAGGTATGTAAGTGTTGGTTAAATAAATAATAAAGATCTTTAGAAAAGAAGCCAGAAAAAAGGCTGGGGGTGGGGGAGAAAGAGCTGTAAGGGCAAGAGGGGCACTGGGGGAAATGAAGGGGCACGAGGGCAGGCTGCGAGGCTGTCGGGGACCAGCTGACCCTCTACGGAGCTGCCTGCCCCTGCGCAGCCCGCCTATCAGTCCTGCAGCTCGAGCCCTCACGGCCCTCTAGCTGCCCCATGCACTAGTTGCCGCAGCTCTCTTCTGGTCCCGCCAATGCAGTGCCCCTTCCATCTCGAGGCCTTTACCCACGCTGTTCCCTCTGCCCAGATGCCCTCTCCTTTCCCTCTGCACTTAACTACTAGGCTTCCTTTGGATCTCAGCTCAAGTGGACATTCTCAGGGCACGGCCCTGACCCACGCCCTGCAAATTGGAGGCTGACTGTCCTTGTAGTTCACAGCACTTTATACAGTTGTGGTGAAGTATTTATTTTCTTAGTGTCTGTCTTTTGAGGAGGACAGTTTCTCTGTTCACTCCTCAATATCCAGAACAAATGTTTGCAGACAGGTGGGAGGAATGAAGCATAGCACCTGGACATTAGGCTATGCTGCAGTTGGATCTTTTCACGAGCATGAGAAAAGACATTTCCCTGCTGTGCCCTGGGTGATCAGAGCAAGGAAACGCATGGTAGTAACACTTCCATTGCCTACAAATTTCAACTGAATTGAAATTAGGCCTCTGAAGCAGTAGCACTGAACTTGTTCAATCAATTCTACTTTCCCTGTCCTACTCAATGTTGTTAAAAAACTGCATTAGTTCAATTATATAGAGAAGGCTGTTCTGCAGTCCACCAAGAAGCTAACTGCTACTAACACCATGGCAGAGCTGAGGAGGGACGGCGTCCTAGGGAATGTTTACTTCTGCATTTATAAATAGGAATTAAGTAGGCCAGGTATTTCATTTGGGCTAAAATGACTTCAATTTTGACTCAAAGATGGCTGCAGAATAGCTCAAAGCTGTGCCTACTTGCTCCCGGCCCCAAACTGGATTTACAGAGAGACCAGAAATAAACCCACACCTGTATGGTCAATTAATACTTGACAAAGGAGGAAAGAGCACACAATGGAGTAAAGACAGTCTCTTCAATAAATGGTGTTGGAAAAATATGACAGGTACATGCAGAAAAATGAAACTAGATCACCAACTTAACCACACACAAGCATAAACTCAAAATGGATAAAAGACTTAAATGTAAGTTGTGAAACCATAAAAATTCTAGAAGAAAACATAGGCAATAAAATCTCAGACATCTCTTGTACCAATATTTTTACCAATATATTTTCTAGGGCAAGGGAAACAAAGGAGAAAATAAACAAATGGGACAACCCCAAACTAAAAAGCTCTGCTCAGCAAAGAAACTATCAACAAAATGAAAAAGGGACACACTGTATGGGCGAATATATTTTCCAATGATACATCTGATAAGGGGTTAATTTCCAAAATACATAAAGAAAAGTATTATGCTAAGTGAAATAAGCCAGCTATAGAAAGACAAATACCATATGATTTTAGCTGTATGTGAAATGTAATGAACAAAGTAAACTGACCAACAAAATAGAACCAGAGGCATGGATGCATAGAACAGACTGACAGCTGTCAGAGGGTATGGAGGGCGGAGGAGGGGGGACTGGATGGAAGAAGGTGAAGAGATTAACCAAAGAGCATACATGCATAACCCCTAGGCACAGAGAGCAGTGTGGTGAGGGCCAGAGGGAAGGTGGTGGGAGACGGGTGGAGGTGGCAAAGGGGGGGAAATGGGAACATCTGTAATAATGTCAACAATAAAAATGAAGTTAAAAAAGGAAATAATCATAATAAATAAAATGATTCAATTTCTTTCCTCAACAAATAAAATTAATCACAGGTTTTCAACCCATCCTTTAAAAAGTCTTGCGCACTGTTGTTGGGAATGCAAAACGGTGCGGCCACTGAGGAGAACAGTATGGAAGTTCCTCACGAAATTAAAACTGGAACTACCTTATGACTCAGCAATCTGAGTACTCATCCAAAAT